AACCATCATAAAATTACTGCCTTTTTATGCTCTCCTCTTTAATTTATCACACATCATTAGGTCATTTTTGAAATCTGTGATGCCTCTACTCCTGTTTCATGATAGCCCCCTCAGACTGCAATGCTTCCAGTCCTTAAAAAAACGACACTTCCCTGCACCAATAAAAAAAATAAATTAACATACGGCTTGTGTGAATTTTTTTTTTGGCGTCAAGAGGACTACAAGACATAAATAGGTTGATATGCAGATGTCACAGATGAAGAGGTGAAAGCATTCTCTCAGCAGTAGCCATATCCACCGCCATAGCGATAGGGTGCGAACGGTCCGCTGTTGCTCCACCCATGCGGTGGTGCAAAGTTACTTCCACACGTAATCCACGAACTAAAGATTCACACATACACACACACATCAACTTTTGTATAAGTTTGTTGATTGTAAATATTTTCTTTGAAATTAAGCACAAACATTTTGGTGCCTCATGAAAAGGGATAACTCACTGTCCTGGGAAGAAGCCGCAAGGATCCGTCACATAGTCTGAACAGACGGTTCTGCAACAGCAAGCACAACTGCAATTCATAATGCAGACTAAGTGTCAAATTTCGTCCATCTGTAGGAGGTGGTGCTTAAATACGCTTGATAGTGGACCATAAGACGCAATTTTTGAAGTGCAGAAGTGCGCACTGTCCTCACTTCTGCATCGAGGTTCGCACATAAACGGGGCATTGGGGAAAAAAAAAAATTCACACACACAAACACAATTTATGCGTATTTACCGATGGGTGAGGAGGTGGAAGAAGATGGTTTCTTTAACGTTGTCAGGAAGGAAGTAAGGGAAATGCTCGGAGGGTAAGGCTAAATGAAAGATTTTAAAGTGTTCCATGTTTAATGTTGAGAAAAGAGAGAGAGAGAGAGAGAGAGGCACATTCTGCAGGCTAAATTGAAGGCAAAATGAGGGCGCATACTTGGGCGGAATGGAGAATTTGACACATGCAAAGGAAGATCAGCACTATTGCGATGGTTTGGAGGCAGATCCACTCGACCTTGGCGATACGGCCAACATCGACAGTGCAAGCGAAGGCAGTACTCCATCCATCAATGCACTGCACAAACACTTTTGCAGAGGGTGACTTCACAGTAGGCTAGGGGGAAGGAGAGGTTAAGCGGTCACTCTTCTGAAGGCGGGTTGTCATTAGAGGTAATCCAGTGCTGCAACGTTCCATGACCTTCAGTTGGGTGGTGGAAAGTGTTGGGTAGGGCTGAGTGCATATAACCGGGGCCAAGTCGATGCGATCATTTAAGCGACTGCAATTGAAACCCACGGTCAGACAAAACAAGCATTGTTTTACATTGACTTGGAAAGAAAATCGCTTCAAATTGCTGTGGAATAGGATACCAATGGTGCAGGGCCTTGTTTTTAAGGAGTACGTGCCCGACTTGTGG